AAGTATATTTACTTTCCTAGTGTAATTAGCACTAAATTACAGTGTAGTTATAGTGCACAGACTACTAAAGCTACTGAAAATAGCCCTTACTTATGCCTAATACCATAGTATGTACTCCGTAATTTGCCTTGCAACGATAGAACATCCAGTGGATGAACAGTTCCCTAGAAGCGGGTAGTGGGTCTGTCACACAACGTCCCGTCCCCACATTCAATCATCCATCTTATTCCCGTCTTCCGGAACTTCACTCCGACATGCAATGCAAATGACCTCCATTGTTCAAAACTCGAACAAATGGACAATGAGATCAATGCGCGATCGACTCGAGCCCGAGCTCGTAAGCGTGAAAAGATATCCAATGCGTCAGTTCATAGCTTGTTCCCTACCTTGTCAATTTAATTGACGCTGAGTAGCTGTATCGCCTGCCGCAACAGCAAGACTCGCTGTTCAGGGCGCCATCCTTGTGAGAGATGCATTAGACGTAAGGAAACCTGCATCTTTGAAGAGAAGGAAAAGAAAGTAGCAATATCTGTAGAGTATGTGATCGGTCCAGGCAGGCGAACCTTGTCAAGACTGATGGACTTAGTTACCTCGATCAATTACACGCTCGTATCGAATCACTTGAGGCTCAATCACGCTCCGTCCAAGGTGTAGGCTCGAATACTGAAGCCCTCTCATCGGGTCCAGTGCAGCTCAATGCACGCTATTCATCGAGAAATCCTCCAACAAGCCCTTTGGGCGAAACTAGGACGTCGTCGGTATGTATCACATCGTGAATGTTTTCCGTTCCTTGATTAAGTCTTGAAAAGAGATCGGAGTCCAATTCCCTTACAAATGCTCTTGTCACTTCCGAGCCACAGATCAAGGTCCATCGCTATGGGCACGCGGGTGAGTCTGCTATTTTCTGGTACCTTAAAGTAATTGACATGCTTACCATATTAGCCTACCTTGGGCACAGCTCAACTCTCAGCTTCAGTCGCAATGTTCGCAACCTTCTTCAACAATCATCCCCAATCGCGGATCCTGGGAGCGTATCTATGGAACGACAGGACAGATCTTATGCACGAACACTACCGCCGATAGCTCTCGATCTGTCAAGCATCGCCTTCCCGAAGCTCTCTTACGCAGAATACTTGACCAACACGGTAATTGTGCACATCGGTTCTCTTTACTCCATATTTGATGCAGACATATTTCTTCAAAGACTGAGGACATTTTACGACGACCGTGACAAAGATTTGGAGATTGAAGCAAGCCTATGGCACATTCAAATGCTCCTTATACTAGCATTCGGCAAGTCGATACAGTCTAGAGAACACTCTGACATGGGCCCCTCCGGAATGAACTACTTCACACTTGCCATTGAAGCTATGCCAGATATAAGAAGGCTCTATGAAGATCCTTTGTTGTCAATTGAGGTTCTATGTCTGTCTGCTTTGTTCATGCATGCGACCGATCTCCTACAGGAGGCTTATGTCACGGTTAGTTTGTGTAGCCTTAGAGTATTCCTCCAACTAACTAACTGGTCCTTAGATTGGTCAAGCCCTGCGAATTTCTGTCACCAAAGTTCTGAACAAAGGGTTTCCGGAAGCTTTGAGATCCTCAAACTTCGAGTACCAAAGACGTCTCTGGTGGACAGTCTACTGCATCGACAGGAAGTGTGCGGCGATGCTAGGCAGTCCGTCTGTCATGAGAGACGATGATATCTCAATTCCGTTCCCAGAAATAAAGCCAGGAGATGAGTCGCAAAACGCATTCGCTATCCATGCGATCCTTTCTTCTCATCTCGGCAAGATCCTTGATGGTGAGCTTTGTGACCTATACTGTGTGAATGCTAGCTCATGTAGACGTCCACAGCCATCTATGGAGTACACGATCAACAGCGGAATTTCCTTCTTGAAGTGAAGTCAATCCTTTCTCGTATTGCGGAGACCTACGTTATCTTACGCCAACATCTACCGCTAGATGTGCAGCTACCAAGCCAACCAATTTCTCGCGAGTCTGCCACACTCCATCTTCTGCTCCACCAGGTAAGTTTCCCGTCAATTCTATTCCAGCCCGAACTAAATATGTCTCAGTGTGTGATTTTGACTGTTAGGCCTGTTCTTTTTTCACTTCTCAAGCCTCTTCTAACATCAAATGCTCCGATACCCGATGCTCGCCACTCTTCGTCGCCATTTGAATCGATGCTGAAGATGTGCATCGAGTCTGCTGTCCAGATCCTCAAGATCATGTCAATTCTGAAGCAACAGATGATGTGTGGTGAGTTGGACAGCTCCTGTAATTGCATGTTATTGACTTGAGTCCAGATATCTTCTTGCCATATGATATCGATGCACTCTTTTCAGCGGCCTTCGCCTTGATTTTAATCGATATCATCCGGCCGGCGAACGAGCTGCTTTGGGACTTGCCCCAGGTTATGAACCTCCTTGGCGAGTTTGTATCACGACGTGTAGCTCCAGCGCAAGCCTACAGGTCTGATCTCGTACAAATTCTAGAGCTACATACTAAGTTACGAGGAAGCAATTGTCGCCAGCATCAGGTCACTGGGAACATGTTCAATGTGAGCCTTGTTCCTGGTCTGGACGAATATGCTATAACCCACCCAGGGCAGTTAGGTATATCGCCTGACCCATTGTGGTCAAATATACGAGATGGAAATGGAGTCGGAGATCCCGCACACCCTAACACAATCCTTTCAGTGATTGATGATTTAAATGTGGAAGGTTTCGATATATCAGACACTGATATGCTCGATAATGCGTGGATGTGGGATGTGGACGATATGTCGACAAACATCTAAACTCAATACTCAATACTATAGCAGCCATGCATTTTGTCGAGATAAGCCGGTATAACTACATCATCAGAAATGTTTAATAGCTTGTGGTAGTCCTCATAGTTAGCTCCGACTTACACCGGAATCCTGTTTCGTAGATCAGTACGTATGGTGCGGAGCGAGACTCCGAGACTTATTCTCGAACAATATTTAATAAAGTGAGTTCCTAGGAGAGCAAGCACAAAATCTGCATTCTTTTTGTTACATCATGACGTTAGCTACCCGTTGTGTTGCTCCGGTCCTGTCTATCCTTCGACCACCAGCGCATATATCACAAATCAACATACTCCCAAGAAATCTCGATTACAGTTATAGTCGCGCATTCTCAGCCTCAATTAGACCTTATGCAGCTATGGAGCACGTATTCTCTCCCAAGGCAGTCGCACGTTCGTATTATCTTCTCTCTGTCTTTGAACCGAATGTTGATCAGAAGTGCCAGCTATTGGGCCACCACCCAAGCTATCAAAGCCAACGGCATGGTCTTTCTGTCAGGCCAGATCCCCGCCGACTCACAGGCTAGGCTTATAGAAGGAACCATTGCTGAGAAGACGCACAAGATGTGTCAGAACGCAAAGGCTATTCTAGAGGAAGCAGGTTCCAGCCTTGATAAGGTTGCTCGGGTAACAGTGTGTTGCACATTTGATATTTCTAAGTCTTTTGCTGATAATTTTGTAGGTTTACTTTCAGAATATGGATGATATGAAGGACATGAACGAGGTCTACGCTGAGTATTTTCCACACAAGCCTGCTAGAAGTGCATGTGAATCTCCGAGACTTCCTGCTGGTGCGAGCATGGAGATGGATATCATCGCATTGCAATAGATTTCCAATATCCAATATTATTGGGTATTCCAAAACAGACTTACATGAACTCCTTATTAATCCTTATCAAGTTGTAGAAATGGGCATTTACTTTTGCTCTATTTGATCATCGCCGCCCAAAGTTCCACAACCAATATCTGAAGATATGTAAATCCTTGACTGACCTGACGCAATAGAATCAACGCTTAGATTATAGAAGTCTCTTAGTAGTATTCGGCCAGCAGCTTTCATCACTTTAGATGACACTCTGCATAGTATCCCGCATTCGGGGGCATGACCTAGCAAGTTGAATGTTCACTGGAATGCATCCCATCTAGCATTTCTCTTCCTGTTATGTAGTATATAGCTCTTGTATGCTTATCTACCAACATCCAAAATAGAGATTCTAGAATATCATTCCGCTGCGATTCTCTTGCAATCAAAGTCAAGCATTCGTTCATTGGAGTGTCCAGGAGTTTCACACTCGACCTCTTTTTATATGTCCAGTCGGATAGGCTGGGCTTTGGCTGGCTTGCGCTTCCAAGCCGATCATATAGGAGGGTTCTCCAAGGAAAATAGAGTTCCTGGGTCCGTATCTGGCGTGTTTTGATGACCACGCTTTGAGTTTTCGCCTTTGACAGATACAGCGAGTATGTCACATCTCAAGAGCTTCAAATATTGGGAACAGAAGAAGCTAGAGAGAGCGTACAAAGCGACCTGGTCACATTACCTTCTGAATGAACCGTGTTCTCGCCTTGACTTTCTTCCATTTGAGTGCGACAAAGAAGTGAGAGGAGAGCAGTTTCCTTCTTTGTCACACTCAAAGGGCACTGATATCTGCATCCTGCATCAAAAGTCCACTCCATCGAGGAAAGAAGGAGGGGAAGCAAGAGCAAGTCTAACACTAGTGGCAAAGCGTTCGGCCATATCAAGTTATCACCGAAGACTCGAGCTTCTGCAGGATCATGAGGAAACAGTATTTGCAAGGTATGAAGTGCTAATAAGCTCGGCCAGGTTCATCGATTCACGCTAGGGCCACTATGTCAGGTCTGACACAAGTCACACGTAACGAGCCGAGACAAATCATACTTCTAATTCATCCGCCCATCTTTTTTATGTCACCATCCATCTTGGAGGATTCGCTTAGCAGCGTGGCAGACGAGATGAGTAGGGCCTCAGACCCTGTAATAAGTTGCAACAGAGTGTTGTTAGCGCTGACCGGAGGCCAGGATGTTTCGTCTTTCAATCAGGCCTTGTGTCTGCAGATCATTCCATGATCCAGTATTTAATACTTGGGCCTCCACCTTGAATTATTTGTCATAAGGCCGAAGATAATACTAAACCAACAACAATATTGGTGATGGCTTCGAACACGCCCAAGACGCCGTCTTCTGGCACCTCGCCTGGGAGCCTTCATCGGCCTGCTAACCCCGCAACTACCGGGCGGCAAGCAGGCCACGCAACAATTCCCCACGACCGACCCGTGGCCCTCATGACTTCGGGCGCTCCTCTGCTAAATCCACGTAGCTGCGTTACTTGTCGGAGGCGCAGAGTCCGATGTGACAAGACGATGCCCTGTAGCAACTGTCGGCGGGCTCAATGCGATTGTATCTACCCTGCTCCGGGCCGCGCACCACGTCAGACGCGGCTTGCGCCTACAGGTCCTGCTACTGGGCAGAGTGAGCGTGAGATTGATCTCTTGGATCGATTACGGAAGCTCGAGGGACTGGTTCATGAGATGAGTGGTCAAGGTACAGCTAGTGAGAATGGCATGGAAGCGAGCAATGGAGAATCACCACTAGCTTCAGAAAAGAGCAAGAGTGCAAAAGATGTCGTTCAAGCAGCCACTGAGAAGGTCAAGAGGGAGTCTGAGAGTACCGATTTCTCAAAGGTCAACAAACAGCTCGGCCGTTTAGTGCTCCACGATGGAGACTCGACGCCGCGATACGTCAATAGTGGCTTCTTCGTGAAGCTCAACGATGAGGTACGATCTCCTTGACAATCTTGAGCATCATCTGACATGGGACAGCTCGCTGAGATTCGCAACGAGATGGAGACTATGAACGAGGTAGAAGCTGAGTTTGGAGACGATACGACTCCTGAGCAGTCCCCTCCACAGAACTTGGGTATTGAACATGACCACCACAGCTTCCTTTTTGGCTACAGCTCTGCCGATGTGGATCTTACAGGCCTTCATCCGTTGCCCGCGCAAGGCTCTTTCCTTTGGCAGATCTATCTCGAGAATGTTGAACCTCTTGTCAAGGTGTTGCACATCCCCACCATGAGTAGACTCATGACTCAAGTGAGGCGCGGAGAGCATGATCTGCGTCCTGGAGATGAAGCGCTTGTGTTTGCCATCTATTACTCAGCTGTGACTTCGATGGAGACACAAGAGGTGAGTCCTCACTGACACAACATATGGACGCCGTCTCACACATTCTAGGTCGAAGCAAATTTCGGCGCGTCTCAATCTCACTTCATTTCTCAATTTCGTTTCGCTCTTGAACAAGCCCTAGCCAAGTCTAATCTTCTCAACACCACCAACATGGCTATGCTGCAAGCATTTGTTATCTATCTCACCGTAGTCAAATGTCACGATGATAGCAAATTCGCTTGGACGCTTACCAGTCTCTGTGTCCGAATGGCTCAAGCTCTTGGTCTCTACCGCGACGGTCAGCAGCTTGGCCTCTCACCGTTTGAGGTTGAGATGCGCCGTCGTCTTTGGTGGGCCATTGTTTCTCTTGACGTCCGTTCTGCTGAGGAAATGGGGTCTGATCTGATCATAGGTGACAAGACCTTTGACACTCAACTCCCGTCAAACATAAATGACGCCGATATTGACCCATCGTTTACCGAGATACCAACTCCTCGTCAAGGCCGCACTGACTCCGCCATTTGCCTCTCGCGTTACGAGATCACGGCCCTGTCTCGAGGCCTGTTCGCGGCCATAGCGCAAATGCGTCCTGTTGATCTAGAAGAGGTCGAAAAAAGCCTCGAAGAGCGCGAGCGCATGCTCGTTGAAGTCTACGAACGCATGGAGGATAAGTTCCTGAAACATCTCATGAGGGAAGATGATCCCATTTTCTGGGTTGCTTCTCTAATCTCTAGAATCATGATGGCAAAGGTTGGCCTCATCATATATCAGCCCGTGCTCTTCCCCGGGACGGGCCCGGAGGTATCATACGAGATCCGAAGCCGGTTGTGGCAGTCTTGTATTGAGATCGTTGAGTACAGCCACATTCTCAATATTGACCCGAACTGCAGGCAATGGCGTTGGCTGTTCAAATCCTACCGTCAATGGCACGCAATCGCGTGCATGCTGCTGGAACTCTCGAAACGCCCTTGGGGTGTCACCTCGGAGCGAGCATGGGAAGCTGCCCAAATTCTCGACTATGATCATCCAATCGATGGCAGCAACAACACAAATCACACGGCTGCATGGATGCCTATTAAAAGACTATTTACAAAGGCTAAAAGACATCGTGAATCGGAACTTGTTCGGTTACGCGCTGATCCCGAGGCAGCGAGACGTCTCGATCGTGAGGAGAGAATCAAACCTGTACTGGAACGTATTGGTCCTGCACCCGGAATGGAGACCCGCATGTCAGAACTCCGAACCCGGTGGCGAAAGATATTTCGGCCGGGAGACTTCTCCGATGATACCGAGTACCAGAGCATTTTGCCCAGCGCAGATCAACCTGCGTCCCTTTCACAAACCCAGCAACGGACCCAACAACCACTCGACCAAGTGAGTGTTTTTGACCCCAACACCTGGCAAAACATTCAGTCTAGCAATCCAAATCTTGCTATATACTACGAAGGAGTCGATTCTGGAGCACAGAACATGGGTGGTCTTTTCCCAGGAGATAGTAGCCTTGGAAGTCTCTCAAGCATTGCATCGCCCGCCGTATCAGGGACTGCATCTACACGTAGAAACGACAATGATCCTCAAGCACATGGAGGTGCTCGCCTATCACCGTGGCTAGGCTCAGGCATGTTTCAGCACATGCATGATCCAGGTGCTCTCGGTGATATCGATGAGCTTTTCCAAAACAGAGCTGGGTCCAATCCTGGTCTCGACCTCAACATGGATCCCGGCGAAGTTGATGACATCGATTGGCGGGACTGGGATGAGACTTTGAGGAGTTTGAGTAGGCCTGCGATGGATCAAATGGGTGCCGGTGCCGGAAGTTGGGGTGGCATGTGAGCGTAGTGAGCTGATAACGTCGCTCAGATATTAAACTCTTTGATCCCATGTGGTATATTGCTATGTTCTTTCAGGCTTCTGGGATGACTTTGCTATGAGCTATACTTCCTTTGGCACTCAGCTATTCGCGACAAACTCTTGATTGCATAACTGCATCTATAGCACTTTGCCAGTTTTGGCTTGCAGTGAATCGTGGCTTCTCAAGCTCTTATACATCTGTCTTTGTGGTCGAGGAAATTTCCAAAATCCAAATGACACGGTTCGTATAGAATATCAACTCTAGTTGTTTTGATAATTTCATGCTAAGACTATGCCAAAGTTATTCTGATGGAAAATGGTTCATGCACGGGGCTGGCAAACCTTTCTTTGATTTTGTGTAATCTTATGATAAGACTTTGTCTAGTTTCTTTAAAGTCTTTGAAAACCTAAGATCTATGCAAAGCCCACAAAGCTTCTTTGCACATTTTAAAATTATCACCATTGAGTGCTCTTCCTTTGGTGTTGGCCAACTTCGATCAAACTTCGATGACGATGCACTGTAAGTTAAATCACTTCTGTGACTGAGCGTACCTGTAGTCCCTGAAGAACTTTCAGTCCGTAATTTCATGTTCACCCGGAACTTAACTGCGTGCATTTCATAGTACTAGCTTTTATGTATAGGCAAGTAACTTTCGTGAAGCTTCAATAAACAGCAATGTTGTGGCCTATGAGAAAGAGCCTTTGTATGGGAAATTTTCAAACTTACAGTGAACGAAAAGTTTAACAGGATACTCTTCCTTATTTAAGGGCTACTGCATCCCGACTTTGGCCTTTATACACTTCTACCTATTTATTCTTCGAGAAAATTTCTCTCCTTTCAGTCCGAGAGGAAACCACATCTTTGATCTCAACATGAGTTTCATCAAAATGAAGGGCTCCAAGCTATGCTTGAAGAGCTACGATAACAACGGCGTTGTCAATAATGTCTTCTTCGTACAAAAGGATGTGCCATGTCCAAACCTGCTGGGAAAGCTGCAAGGTCTTGGGGCCGTTGAGGCGGTAACCCCCGACATGGTCGAGGTGCAAATCTCTAGGTACTTTTTGTCTATCTTCTTGTTCGTTCTTCTCAACTACTTCATGGTCAGAAAGCAGCTCAACCCGAAGTCGAACGGTGATGCCAAGAAACAGGAGTCTGGTGATTCTACCACCAAGTTCAAGCCGCTGGCTTGGATTCAGCGCAGTGAATGGCACCGAACTCGTGCCGTCATATTTTCGAGCTGGATGCTGCTCCTTCAGTTTGGCTTCGCCCGCGATGCCTGCACACTTGCAAGTGTTCTGACTTACCAAGCATATTTGGCGGATTTGGAATGGACAGAGTCCTACATCTTGAGCTCCATCTTTGCCGCCATCCGCATTATACTTTTCACACTCGGTACCTTTGGCAGCCTATACCCGCTGTACCATACCGTGAAGGCGCAAATGCAATACATACGTGGTCTCTTAACCCTTGAACTTTCACCCGAGCAGGAAACTAAGGATGAGAGATTGGTGCCTCAAGAACTCCCAGCCTCTACTCCTCCAGCCTCTGCTCCTCCAGCCTCTGCCCTTCGCCAAACTTCTCCTTACGCGGAGACGACCCGGGAGAGTCCCCATGAACGTGAGAAGCGTGCCACGGAGACTGATCCTGAAAGACATGCCCCAACTCTTGCTTTTCTTCGCCTCCCTCCCAGAAGCAATCACGCCCAGTCAATGACAACTGCTCAACCGCCCGCCTCTAAAGCTAGTCAGCATGGTCCTCAAACACCTGCCCCTCACCCTTCACGAAATCCCTCGGTAGGAAACGCGCCGCCGTCCCATACAGATTCCACCACGAACAGCGCAAACGACGCTAGCCGCCAAGCAGCTCTCGAGGCTGCAATTAGGCGGCTAACTGCTCTCGCTGTGTCTCATCAACGCCGACGAGCCTTCAACAGCGAATCTGCTTCCAGCTCCACAGGAAGGGCGCCAGTAGGACAAGCATTAGAGGAAGATGCGACAAAGTCCTCGGATTCTCCAGCTCAACCTGAAGGCTGGGAATACGTCCACCACGAAGAAGGGAAGTCAATTTCCTAGAAGGGAAACATGGGAATGGTTCGAAAAATAGGTTTCCTGTACCTAGGAGACAGATATGAGAAAACAGAGAGATTCAATGTCCCAATCTGTGATCCATCTTATAATATTGTACATGCCTGAGGACCAACGAAGCAAGCGTTCCATGCAACCTTGTGTATGTCGCTAGACAAGCCCCGTTGGCTCAGTGGTAAAGCGTATCACTAGTAATGATAAGATCACTGGTTCGATTCCAGTACGGGGCAAGCGAGATTACCTTTTGCTGATATCCTTCTTTTGTTTATTTGTTCGAGTGCCTCCAATGTTATTATGTATGAGACTCTGGGTGATACTGGGTTGGTGTTGAGGTGAAAATTTCCTTTTTGGGGGATTATCTAACAGGAGGTAAAGTTTAAAGCAACAGCTTCAGTGGTCCTTCCTCACCTCCACGACGATCCATTTTTGCATGTGACAGAGGTCGTCCTTCCAATTGGTAACTTGGCCATTAAGTGTCTCTCGCATCTGCCTACTACTAGGTAGTAACCTTTAAGATGCACTAGAAGCCTGGTTTGTATGGTATGTAAGTAGTATTGCGAAGTGGGTTGTTCAGATGCATTTTATGTGCAATGCCAAGATCATCAAAGTTGCAGGGTACGAGCCCAGAAGTGTAGGTTCAAAGCAATGCGAAACAGTGAGTAATGAGTGAGATTTAAATGCGCATGGCGCAAACAGAGGTGATATTATGTTGGCTGAAGGTAATCACCAATAAGACATTCCATCATACAAGGTGTAATTTTGCAGGCTGAAGCTCTCTGCCCAGAATGGAAATGACAGGTCCCTCTGTATTTACATGCCCTTATTGCCATCGCCGCTGTCATCATATCTTTTCACCTGTGTCATTTTTCGCAGCTGAACTTCCAGACTATTCTCGTAGCATCTATCGTTAGTATTTACTTGGTAGGTGCCTTGGGTTCGCCAGACGCGTCGAGGACGGGCTTGCCCCCTCTGTAGAACCACCAGAACCCACCGCCAATAGCGAGGGCACCAGCGACGAGAATTTTGTTGCTGAGAATAAATTATTAGTCCAGCTCATCCTCATCTCATCTCAATTCACGTATCCATACTGGTTCTGGTTCTGTTTGGGCGGCTTCGCCTGGTACGGCTCGGATTCACGGAGGATGCTCGAAATGCGGAGTCCTCGTTGGGCTGCAGGGAGAGGTCGAAGGACGACAGCAGAGCGAGCGACACGAGCAACGAGAGGAGACATTTTGACAGTCAATGAATATGATCAGCGATTGAGAAGATTGATAGTCGGTAATGAATCCGCAGATCTGAACGAGGTGTTGAGAACGGAGCCAAGGTAAGTATCAAGGAGGAAAGCGCCTCCACTCGCGCCGGGAACTCGTCTCTCTTAAAAGAGGAGGAGGTGAACCGTTACTTGCGGGGAATTTCTTGCCGTCATTTATGAGTGACAAGACGTGCATGTCTGATATTATCCAGGTCTTCAGCCAAGTCACATCATGGTATTTGGAGAAGCTGTTTGGGGGCATGTAAGCCGTGCTGCGAGCCGCCACAGTACAGACAAGGGACTTGTCGAGTACACAAAGGAACCCCGGATTTTCCCCAGACGGCAGCCCGGTAGGTAGCATCTCCAGGGATGGGTACCCCTGACTTAGGCGGCTTTGGCTTTTGACTGGATGAAGGTAGCCGTTGTGTCCTGAGATGGCGGGCAAGTGCGGAGATGGAGGCTTGGAATCGGCTGATGAGTGTTGCATTGGTTTATCGATGGAGGGGCTTTTGCATGTTGTCTCAATTAACCTCTTCACCGCCTCAGCCACCTTATTGTGTGATGGCTGTTTTCACATTCTCAAAGTGATAGCCTAGACTATGTCTTCAACATTGATTCTATTCATACAGTTCAGAAGAGGCTAAGAATGGGTCCATTTCTATTCTAATCCATCAATATCCACTCTCTAGCAGGGGTCTACCTTCGGCAGCTAAAACTTGACCCACTCGGTTTGAAGATCTCAAGATGAGGTTTAAAAATGTTGGTTCACGATACAAAGATTGACACAATCGAAAACGTTAAAGAGAGCATTATCGGTTAGGCCTTTTTTACTATTAGTCCAGTCGTAGTTATGCAAACCCAAGATTTGAATACTACTTGTCGAGAGGCTATCGATTCTACACAATCAAAAACGAGGAACAGAACAGATGGTTCGCATCCATTCCCGCTTCTTGGCAACCTGCAGACATCACGCAACTCTTTCAATTCCTCAGGTTACACGTCCCCTACAAGAAGCAGCATTTGCACGCACTGCAACCTCATCAATTATCCTGGGAGCATCTTTACCCGATAATTGCCGCGGCAAAGTCTGTCTATGATATGCGAAATCATGTCAGGCCTGGGTTCAATATCCAACACTTGAGCAACCAACCGGCTCGCTTCTATAGGATTACTGTAAGTGAAATATCTCTCACCTTGAAATTCCATTTCTCCCCCTAGCAGCATCTTGTTCCTGATCAGCTACCGCCCCCTTTGTTTCTCCTCTTTGTCTCCGAGGTAAAGCACTACTCATTTACATACTTTTAATCACTTTGAATTTCGAACATCCTAGCCATTGTATCTCTACATCTAAGGGAACATCTCACGATGTTTGGTCTTAGTGGTACTACCCAATACGAAAATTGAACCGAAAACGTGTGCTTGGTGGTGGTTAACATCTCAAGTCGTGAATTGGTTTCCACCATACCTAAGGTACATATTATATAAATCCTCCATAGAGTGAAGTAGCTCATAGTCTATAGAATTATACAAGAGGCTACATTTATTCATTGCTAATAATAATGATAACAAGTCTTATCCACCCATTGTGCTCTTGAATCTATCGCACAAGTCACTGAGTTCGACGAAATCTACAGCTTACCAACAAAACTCAAGAGTAATAGCCCGGGAACCAAAAACACCATTTTCGCGCATATGTACATACAATTGAGATGGCTGGGTGTGAATTATCACTGATATCGATCTTCCCGTCAAGTTACAACCAACATCGCGTGTTTAGATTGCAACGATCTTATCAGATGGACAACCTTCTGATCGCACTTGCAGTCGCGTACACTTCGGTTTTGAAATAATTGAGCAAAGGACACCAAACTAATATATCTCAAGCCTCCATTCAGCCAAATTCGCGGCTCATGACTCCCTAGGTATTTAATACAGGGTAAGCCCCTCACCCAACCGAACCCCCTCTATTCCCACGTGCATTACCCACCCCCACCTAACCTCACCGTTCCGCCCATCAACAGTTTCCCTTTTTGGTCACCGCCTTCAATTCTCCAAAGTGTCCCCTCCACTCACTCCCCCCAGCAAAACACAAGGATCAAGCTCAACTTCACCTCCCTCTACGAGCTTTTTCTCCCTCTCTTCTCTTCAATTCCCACTCTTCATCACACCACAGCAATCATGTCCCTCCACGTCCCCATGGCCCATCGCACCAAGGACCAGGGCGCCACAAAGGCCGTCATCCTGGTATAGCTTCACCCTCCCCACCCCTCTATAAACTTGCTGTTCTAACACAGTAATTGCTCTAGGTCGGTGGTCCTTCTCGCGGCACTCGTTTCCGCCCTCTCTCCCTCGACGTGCCTAAGCCTCTATTCGAAGTCGCTGGCCACCCCATCATTTGGCACTGCCTCTCCTCTGTCGCTCGCGTCCCCAACAAGCAGATCCAGGAGGTCTACATCATCGGCTACTACGACGAATCTGTCTTCCGCGACTTCATCAAGGACTCCGCCAAGGAGTTCCCCGCCATCACTATCAAGTATCTCCGCGAGTATGAGGCTCTTGGAACCGCTGGCGGTCTCTACCACTTCCGTGATGCTATCCTCAAGGGTCGCCCCGAGCGTCTCTTTGTTCTCAATGCCGATGTTTGCTGTTCGTTCCCTCTCGACGAGATGCTTAAGCTTTTCAACGATAAGGATGCTGAGGCTGTCATCCTCGGGACACGTGTGAGCGACGAGGCCGCGACAAACTTCGGTTGCATTGTCTCCGATTCCCACACCCGCCGTGTTCTACATTACGTCGAGAAGCCCGAGTCGCGAATCAGCAACCTGATCAACTGCGGTGTCTACCTTTTCTCCACCGAGGCAATCTTCCCCTCTATCCGCTCCGCCATCAAGCGCCGCCTCGACCGACCCTCTCGTCTTGTCTCCTACCCCTCTTCCGATAACCTCGAAAACAGCTTCGTCCTCCCTGACGACGACGATGATGATGAAGAGAAGAAGAGCGAGGTTATTCGACTGGAGCAGGATATCCTCTCTGACATGGCCGACAGCAAGCAGTTCTACGTTTACGAGACCAAGGACTTCTGGCGCCAGATCAAGACTGCTGGCTCTGCTGTCCCTGCCAACGCTCTCTACCTCCAAAAGGCTGCGCAATCCGACCACAGCGACGAGCTTGCCACTCCTAGCGCAAACATCGTCCCTCCTGTCTTCATTCACCCTACAGCCGAAGTGCACCCCACTGCTAAGCTCGGCCCCAATGTGAGCATTGGCCCCCGTGCTCACATTGGCGCTGGCGCCCGTGTTAAGGAGAGCATCGTGCTCGAGGACTGCGAGATCAAGCACGACGCTTGCGTTCTCTACTCCATCATTGGCTGGGGTAGCCGCGTTGGCGCCTGGGCTCGAGTTGAGGGTACCCCTACCCCTGTTGGCAGCCACTCGACCAGCATCATCAAGAATGGTGTCAAGGTCCAGAGCATTACCATCCTTGGCAAGGACTGCGGTGTCGGCGATGAGGTCCGCGTGCAGAACTGTGTCTGCTTGCCCTACAAGGAGTTGAAGAGGGTAAGTTCCCAACTCGAATTATTCGACGAGCACCCCGCTAATAGAATCACAGGATGTCACCAACGAAGTCATTATGTAAACGAAGCTCGTTTCTACAATCTAGACTAGTGCAAAAAGTTTGCGTTTGATCTTCCTTGAAAGAGGCGCCATATATCCTTGAAAGTTGAGGCCATCAAAGCGTAATAGAGGGTGTATATAGGAGTGATATCTGAGGAACAAAACTGCTTCCAATCAGGTCACATCAAGAGGAATGACTATTCAGTAAAGCAAGTAAACAGCGATAATGGACTTGCATTCTTGTCCAAGCCTCTCCACCATATTTTAAACTTGGAAGCTGTGATTTTTGGGAAACACCATTCCCGTCCTTTCTAGTCTTGATCTAAGATTCACGTTTCTATAATCAGGGGTATACTGTCATACCGCACCTCCTCAGAAGTGGATGTTTTTCCTATCGCCAACCATACCTACCGGGGTGCGCAGAAAGTGATGACTACTGCAGACTGGCTATGCAAGCTGTTCTATCTATCCAAGAAATGTACCAAAGAGATCCTGGCTATATATAATGTTACTGCAAGGATGCGTGATTCATGTCTTCGTTCGACTTCATAATGATGAAATCCCGAATACGAATCTTTGTATTCGAGTGTATAATGAATGTGGTGTCTCGATCGACATATATATCGACAAGATCAATCGTCTCTCTTAAAGTTGGATCGACTTGGCGTTCTGGGCAGTAGTGGTGTGCTTGGCCGACTCGTGGTCAAACCCATAGGGCTATCCATGGGATTGACAGTCAGTCGGTTCGGCAAATTACGAGGGGTTTGTAAACTCTCAATAGCCGGCTTCTCGAAGCTATGGATCTGGATTGGTGGAGGACGACGGATAGCCCTATCTGAACCATTGTAGATCCAAGTAGAGAGGAGAACCAGGAATGTGCCAATGATAAACTGCAGGCTGTGTTAATATCCATGCGTTATGGTCACGACAAGGGAACTTACGGTTGCCGACACCTCGAACTGGAACAACATCATGCTGATCAAGAAGCTGATGACAATGCTGATGCTCGTCGCAAAGTTCTTGACAATATTATCCGTATCCCGAATTACAACACTCGCCAACATGCCACCGACAGCTTGGAGCACAACGGCACTCCACACAACCCAATTGTAGCCCTCAAAAAAGCCGTGCTCGCTGATTCCCTCACCGTCCTGCCAAATTACACCACCGAGGCCGGCTGCAAAGATGGAGTAAAAGCTTAGCTGAACGTTTCGGATCCAAACACTGGCTTGAGTGGGACTCTCCTTGAGTAACTTTTCGAAGTAGACACCCGTCAAGCCGGATACCGTAGCAGCGACAAGAACGGAGACCAAGCCAACAGAATAATTCATAAGAGGATCCAGTGGCGGCAAATCATGGTCAATGCCTTGATAGGTAGCAGATCGCTTAGCTAGATGTCCAGCCTGGCTGTTGTCCATCGGTACGTGTCCAAGCTCATGGAGCGAGCGAGGGAAGAAATGGTCCGTCATGTGGCGGAGAGGAATGCTGGATGAACTCGAAGATGAGCCAGCTTGAGGGAGCGACACAACACATACGCCCAGCGTCAAGATGATGAGGGCAAGCCAGCGCTTGGGTCCCAAGTGCCGTCGCAGCAGTACAACACTGAACAGTGCTGTGATGAGGATCTTTGAAAAAAAGGTCAGAAAGAACGTATTCTAACAGGGCTTACTTTGCCAAGACAAATATGACTTCCATAGTGGTGGGGCATACCTTGAGCTGATACAGCACTTGAAAGTGTACCGCATCCAAGTTACCCACCGCGACATACTGCAGCATATTCTGCAAGGTATAGAAAGCAGCTGTTAATGCAAGTTTCCACCCATCACCTGCAAAGACGGAGTTATAGATTTGCTCAAAAAGGACTGTTGCGGGTGTCGTAGGAGCCAAGGTCTTTGAGGTATCGTAGATGGCTAAGGATAGCGAAACGGCGAGCTTGATGATCTCGTTCAGAAAGACGGCGGTCGAAGTAAAGTAGCGGTGATCGCCACTTGGAGGCATAACGCGAGAGTAGTGCATGATCTGAAGGCAATGTTAGCTGAGCCTAGGATGATGCATTGCGACAAAAACTTACCAAGATAAGGGCTGAGTTCTGAAAGGTCAACTGGTATAGCACGTCAGTACCAGAATCAGGGAATTTATGTATTACCAAACAGCATAGCAAGAAACCAGGTGTGAAGCTCGTACCGTTGTTAAAGCCCACTGCTTCTTGTTCAGACCTAGGAAGCCACCCTGGCTAGCAGGAGGCGCCTTGGGGAAGGCCTCCAGTATCGCCATTGTAAAGTCGAAAGGAGAGCTGAGTGTGTCGATGTGATGTGAAAGGAGCGTGATATGAAGATAAATTGGCCAGTAGTAAGAGGGCAATGCGCTCTGAAACCGCGATGGGGGCTTTGCGACACTGGCTGGGAAAACGATGCGACAATGGACGAAATTCGAATTCTTTACGAAGGCTCGGGCGCCAACCAACCACGCCCACTGATTTTTCTGGGTTCTTTTTTCTGAGGCAATGTAGAATGGTGTGATATCGAGTATTCGGATCGCGTGTCAGTATTGTGAATGTTCCTGTTGCAGATCCAAGGGCCCCTCCGCGATCGCAATCGTGCACTGCCAAGGCTCGGGAGCCAATGCCTTATCGTCACAGCCAGTCGACGTCGGATATCCGTGCTCGCTATTCGTGCTTCTCGAGGTGTCAGAAAATAAGGTAACGTATAGAGTTTCTATATATGGAAGAAATGAAGGAGAAGAAGGACAAAAGGGGAGGAAAGAGGCGGGGAGCACCTTCAAGAAAAGGAAGTCTCCGTTCTTTACAGAATAGGATAAGGCAGCAGATACCTAGGCAGGAAGGATACAGTGACCCTGGGGTAGTGCAAAGGAAGGAAGCACCACAGCCGTCCAGCCTACTCCGTACAATGGAAGAAACTGTGAACCGCGAACGTGAGCCCCTTGCCTTACTTCCTGTTGGTTTTTGTCATAAAAAATAGGACCCAGGCCTACCTTACCTATGCCCAGCCAGGTAAGGCAGGAAGGCATGTGGCAGTCGGTGCATCTTCCTCCCCACTGGTCAAGCTAGGTAGGGATGGGTGGGCCGGGATCTGACAGAGCAGGAATCAGGGGCAGGGGCATCTTTGGAAGTGTTTTCAGCAGGGCAGGGAATGAGAATTTCATATTTAAGAGGCGGGATTGGCTGAGTTTTCAATGCATTTTACTTAGCAATAAGAACGGTAATTACTTAATTTTCAATAAATCGTTAATAAACCTTTATAATTTTCAACGTTGCAGTCATTAACTCTAATAACCCCTGTTTAAGTTGCCCCGGCCCCTTTTTATTATCCCTGCCCACTAGGAAGCAACCCATGCCTTTTTATTCATGCCAGGAACCAAGAGGGCAAAAAAGCTTTGCAACAGGCGGATACCGGTAGATTTAACCGAAAATCTTCTGAGACTCTGAGTGTAAAATGCACAATTCATAGCAAGCGACAAATCTATCCACAGGCGGTGGAAGAACAAGGCGCATCCACGTTCACTTCTTAGCATGATCAGAGAGTATCATGCCAAGAACCGTGAATCATCGGTATGAAAAGGCCGAGGTTGTCATAAGCTACTCAACCTCTAGTGCAGCTACTAAACGAGGCTATATGCTCAAATACGATGTGGTCAATCACCTTCCAATCTCAACATAAATCTCCAAGCCAAATCAATCTCACTTCGGATCTCGAACTAAATTCGTCGTTCCCCTCCCCGGCTCCGATCCCACCGGCGCCGACCGTCATCCAAACCCCACAGACTCCGCAGCTCTTCTCGTCAAACACGTCCAAGCACCAAAAACCCAACCTGCTATGTTTTGTTTCGTACGTCATTTGCTTCCAGGGAATTACATCCTTTACAAATATGATATGTTTCGACGTCGACAATCCCCAGCTTCACACAATGCTGTGTTCTTTAATGGCGTCATTTACCTGATCAAACTTGCCTGCTTCTGCACTGCTTAGTGACGTACATTGTGCGTCTTCCAGATATCATATATGCAGCACCACCACCAGCCACGTAGGAAGACATCCATCCGTCCATCCATGCTTTTTTCCGCCAAAACCGCACCTCAGACGCTGTGCGACTGCACCCATGTGTGACATCTGCCGCCGCCCGACACAGGCGCCTTTTTCTTGGGTCCAGCCAAAACGTCTTCCTCTGTCTCAGCTGTGTCCAAAGTCCCCCGGTAATACATTATACAACATTTACATTCACCGCTCTGATGGCGTGGTTTCTCACTCATGCGCAAACACTCTCATCTGAAAAGCAAACATTGTCTTCTCTTTGTGCTGCCTCGACCCGCGAGGCGGTGAGCCCAATTGTCTGTACATGTCGTACCCTGATCCTAAGTTGTCCCTTCAATCATCTTGCAAACAACTAAAATCGGTTTCCCACCCATATCCTGCAAATCCTGGAAATCCAACTATGATGTGTCCCCAAAACCAAAAAAAACTACATCCTTCAGCTTCATCCGCCACGTCCTTCCCCATCCACGTATTGCCTGATATCAAGTGCGGGTTCTCGGACTGTTCGCTCACGTCTGGTGTCATTGACTCCCAATTTTCATGAAGCGATTTCTTTTCCCCTTCAGCATCACCCTTGTGCTTGACACTGTTGCCTGAGTCAGTGATTTCATAGTCCGCGATGCGTTGATCACTATCTGGAATAGCTCCAACTCCGGTTGGCTGGATAGTGAGCTGGGTGCGAAGTTGCATATTCTTAGTGCCAAAGTTCCAGACACTCTCCCGAGGCAGGAACATACTCGCGCTCAAGCTGTGCACCGGGACGTCGTCGATCCGGCGATACTGAAAGTCACCCGCGCTGTCGAGGTGGTGGAAGAAGGCAGCGTGATGAGGGCTGCGGAAGAAAGCTAGGGATCCAATGTCAAACGTTGGATAAAGACTGCTGCCGTAAACTTCACTTAGCCAAGTCGCAAAGGACCCACCAATCCAAGATGCTCCCTCCCCTTCATCCTTGGTATTTCTGTCGTGAGCCGTCTCATCCTGTGACCTATTAGTGTCCGAGCTGCGTTGACCACTAGGGCGGCTCTCCTAAATGATCCGCGACCTCAGTTTGTCACTGCCCTCATCTACCGATCCTTCACAGCTATTATCCGATGAGCTTGACTGAATAGCGAGACCTGCGCTGTTTTCAATAAGCCATGTGATATCAGCCTCTTCATGAAGGAGCTCTGGGTGCTGGTCTATGAAAGACTTGACGCGAGAGAGTTGATACAAGTTGGCTTGGCCAAGGACAGCTCGGTTGAAACCATAGGCAATACCGTTGTCTCGCATGTAACGGAAGACATCGAAAGGAATGTCTTGGCTCAAAGAAGCCTGCTTGTGTCAGCTCCTGATGAATTTTCGATGAATCGCTGTGGCTGTTTCGGAAACCACTTACGCCTGGCTCTACTCTCCAGAACCATTCATAGTTGCGGAGACGTCGCTCGTTAGCAAAAGGAGCGGAGCTCCATCGCTTCATTTGGCGGATGTCGGCGATGGGTTTAAAGGTCTTTTGGTTGCCGTCAGAGTCGATTCCGTGAGAGTCCGAAAGTTGGGAGTGATCAGTCCAATCAGGCATGTTCCAGTTCTCCTCAGGAATAATCTCGAAGAAACAAGTAGCATTGGTAGCGTTAGAAGCGAGCTCCTTGAACCTCTCTGGAAGATCCTGGACGCTAAAGAAAACCCAGTCGTACAAGTGGCGGTTGTTGAACTTGTCCTCAATCTGTTGAATACTGTAGAGTATAGGACTGACATCATCTTCTTGGACGAGGGTCACCAAGGCTGCCTTGAGGGGGGCATCAGAAGAAGAGGGCAAGGCTGAGCCACACACAAACAGGGTGAAGTGAAGAAGGGTAAGGGCCCCTGCCCACAAAGGAGTGAAGCGACGGGCTTTTGCCATGGTGAAGGTGGGGATAAGGTTCATCGTCCAGGGGAAGAATTGACAAAAGCCTTGAACGACGAAAGGACCGGAAGGGCTAAAGGCCGTAAAGATGAAGGCTATTGAGTACCTTAGGTAGATGAAGTGCAGGGTGGAGAGGAAGAGGGTTTGAGAAAGGAGTATGAGAGTGAAAGGAGTGTAAAGGCACCTTAGGTGCTGAGCACGGAAACGTTCTAGACGTGCTAAAGAGAAGAGATTGTGCTTGTGCTTGTGATTGCTTTCGATTCCAGGTTCGAAGTAGAATAACGAATCAAAGGATGAAGAATAAGAAGAATGAAGTAAGAGAAGAGAGAAGACAAACTGGGGGGGATTTGTACCTACTAATAATCCTCCACCTTGCGGTTATTGTATCCTCAGGCGAGAAGAACCAAGGAGATGCAGGTTGGCAGGTGATTCAATGTGGAGGCGGACATGGACGTGGCAGCTGCGAGCAGGTGCAGTATCTTACCTCATCGACACACTAAACACCAGCTTGATAAGAAGAGAAGTAGTTGCCCAGAGGCTCTGGAGTGACCGGAAGAAAGGATCCGGACCGAAGAAGCCCAGGAGCAACAACAGACCGGTGTTGGCGATGCACCCATTTGCCCACTCACGATAACATCATCTTGTTTCCTCACCTCCACTCAACGCCACTCCTCACCAAACATGGCATGTGATCATGAGCCGCAGCAATCTCAGTCGGTTGTGTTACAGAGAGAACGATGAAAGATAACGGTGTGTCGAGAATCACTTTGCTCACCCACATTGCCCATTTGTCATGAACTTCACCAATCAATACACTCTCAGGATGGTACTGCATGATTGTGTTTGCATGCCCTCATTAACCAGGCGTTCTTTCGTATCAACGAGCACCAACAGTAGTCTATCGCCTGCCTGTCCCCAAGTTCGCACCGCTGGATCATCGGATCCCTGGTAGATAAGCCTCAACGCCATATTTGCCTGTTAAACAAAAAAACAATGCCCGCCGTCCTCGCCCCTGTCACCACATAGGAACGACGTGTATTACGATAATGATACAACCTTAACCCCATGCATGCCTTTTGTTTAAGCTTCCACATCCATTTGCTCAACGTCCACTGAACCATCCTCTAAACTTATGTCGAGAATTCTTGCGTATTGAAGCGTCAATCGCTGAAGCTCGCGGTATTTTCCTGTTTGCTGTTAGTTTATACAGCTTTTGCCATTGTGACATTAACAACAACAACTTACCAAGAATCATAACTACACCTGTGAGCAGCTCTTTTCGATCCCATCCACAGATGTCGCCTTCTTTGCTGAACCACCCATGGCCGTCCTTTTCCTCGTCTTCTTCTTTGTCTTCGAGGATACCACCAAGAAGACTGTTGAGGAGCTCTTCAACCTTGACCCTTGCTCCCTCGGCGCCCAGGCGCTTCGCATACATGAAGAGATATAGTCGAAATTCTTCCCGTGCCTCAAGTTGCAAAGCACCAGCAATTCTTGTTTCCAAATGGGCAATGCTGACACTGCTTTCAAGATTTTCGGACTCCTTCCGCTGTACGACCATTTTAATAATACGCTGTAAGGAATACGATCTACCTTTCAACAAAAATTCGTTCGTTGTATGTCGCTCGAGGAAAGGTATGATGCCTGACGACACATTGGCTTTGGAAGACTTCGTATCTTTTCTGTCCTTAGAATCCGGACCAACAGCTGTAGATTGCAAAGCAGAAATAGAAGAATCGTTCGAGTTCCAATACTGTGAGCCCACTGCCCACCAAGCTTCACTTAGGCGTTGCCATGTATACATCTCGCGAGCATAGCAGTAGCCATCACCATTTGTCAATGTCACAATGATGTGGCCGGTACTGTTCAGATGGGCAGAAGTAATACCAGGGCCAGGCGTCGCGCTGTGTTGGTTAAGCGATGTTGTGGCAATGTCCAGAATTGGTCCAAGTGACACCGGAGGATTGGGAGCAGACTGCGTTTTCATGTCCCAAACATGGGCAAGGCCGACAGCTGTAATGCACAGCAGCCAGTGATCGCGAGCTTCCAGAATAACAGGCTGCGACTCAAGTATGATAGGGGTGAGAAGTCTTCTTCCAGCAGAAGTCCAGGTATGCACAGATCCATCCTCGCAAACCACGGCCCAAAAGTGCTTCGTCGCTGTTACTAGAACGACATCCCTGGGAAGCCACTCTTCCCAAATAAGAGCGCCCCTTTTGCTGACTATGACATGCGAAGGATGGCCATGGGTGGTATCATTCTTGGCTTCCAGAATTATGTTTTCTGGGGTCTTTGTTGCTTCTTCTAAGGAGCTTTCGCCTTGTAAAACTCCTCTGTCCAGCGGCCGAAGGATATGTGACCTGATCTTCGGTACAGCTAATCTGACTTGTGCGAAGGACATAGACACATTCATGATTGCTGGCCTCAGGAACTCCGGTGTGGGAACAACACCATTCTGAACAGGCACAAGGGCTGCTGGCTCGACTCCATTAGGGCCATCAGTGACGATGGGTATAGGACCCGTTGCAACACGCTTGGCGACCGGCTCCTCTTCATCTTCGTCATCACCCAGGTTGATTTGCCTCTTGTTACCAAGCAACATGGCGGCAATGCCTCCCTTGGGTAGACCGTCATAAGGCTTGCTCATGTCAACTATTGTCTGTGGTGTATCATTTTGCGTGTTCTTGTTGGTACTTGTTGTTCCAACCAACTGAGTTTGAGGCAACGAAGACGTGCCTGTCCCTGATGATGACACCAACAAAGGTGCAACTCGCTTCTTGCCATCTTTGCCGATAGTGACCCGCGATTTCAATTCCTTGACACGTTCGGCTGCCTTGTCAGCTGCCTCTTCTGGCTGCTTCTCTGGTTCGTTTTCCGGCTCAGCTTGGCCATTTGTCGATGGTTTCGCTGAAGTACCATTGGGTTTAGGGCCATTAGCGATGGGTGTTGACTCCTTGGTTGACTCAGAAAAGTCTCCCATGAGTGCGCCCATCCTCGACTCTACAGCCCGCGACTCTCCCTCTTTACTCTGGTTTTCCAGAATGAGGCCATCGACGTCCTCAGCTATACCCATTCCTTTCCGAGACGCGCCATATTTCTGAAGTGCCTTGACGTTCTCCTCTGGTTGCGCTACCCAGCCGAGCTCTCCCTCTTCGAAATTCACAACCACAATGCTACCGTCTAGACTTGACGCAAAAATGGTCTGTCCATCCGGAGTCCACGCTAAATCAGATATCGACTTGCCTGCTAAGTCTTGACACACAACCACAGGCCTGGACGTATTTGTGTTCCATATACTCAAAGTCTTGTCCTGGCCAGCTGATGCTATGACTGTCACGAGCGATGTCGCAGCCCCATCGGCTGCACTCGCATCTGGCTTTGACGTGTGAAACAGACGAGGGGAGAACATGCACACTTCCGTTGGGGCTTCATGGCCGATAAGATTGATTTCACTATCCCATCTCGTCCGCTCGATGATAGCAACGGAACTCACGGGACCATTTACAGCGTTGGCAGCTGCGATGTGATTACCATCGGGGGACCATGAACATCTTCGAAAGTAGGTAGTTAGGGGCGAACTCTTGAATGGTGAGCTAATGGTCGTTTCAAGAACAAAGTTGTTAACCATGTCGTGCTGTGTCGCATTAGGTGCGGGCGAAGTGAATCGAAAGATTTTGATCGTTCGGTCGTCGCTTGCGGTTGCAAAGAATTTGTTCGCAGGATCGAAGGTGATACCCTTGACATGACTTTGGTGTGCAGGCAGAGTCTTCAGCTTCTCGAACGTATGACCAGACCAGACGACGACCTTGGAATCGAGTCCAACAGAAACCAATATCGAAGAATCGTACGACCAGGCGAGATCCTGGACATCATTATCGTGACCAATCAAACGTTTGTATGTCTTCCAGTTCTCGACAGGAGGAGGCTCGTTGGTGCCAAACGTAGCAGCTGGCGGTCCTTTATCCAGGTGGTATACGCAAATAATTTTGTCATCCGCTCCACTGGCAAGATAACGCCCATTAGGCGAAAAGCGAACTGAGTGGATTGTTCCAAGATGATGGCTCATGTGGCAGAGCTGGCGCGGCTTGTTGTACTTTGGTGTGTCGGCATTGTAGATGCTTTCGGTCGACCAAACGCGGACGTGTCCATCGCCGCCAGCAGTCGCAAGTCGTTTTCCATCCGGGGAGACATGACAGCTATAAACTTCAAAATCCTTTTGCTCGCCGCTATGGCTTAGCCATGAAGGCTTGATCATACGCATTATGGAAAGTCGAGTGGCATGCCCGGGAGAAATCGCGTTTGAGTCGAGGGCTACGCTGTGAACAAACTAAAGACTAAAGATACTCGTCACGATAAACTCGAATACGATGCGATCAGTTCGGCGGTGGAAATAATTGACGTTGTTTGAGGATGGTGATGAGGATGGAGTTTGGCTTAAATTGGAGTTAACGCGATGTCGCGTTTTTTGGGCCCAGGCCAGTCAGTCAATCAAAGATGCAGGGTCAGCTATTCCTCACCCGTCACAATGGAACCCAACTGCACCCCAGGAGGCAGTGGACAAAATTAGGGGATTTCGTCACAGGGCATTCTTCTTTTTGGGCAAGCTTCCTAGCAAATGCCGCGAAGCTTAATGATTGGTCGTTACGGAGTAACTTTGATGCGCCGACTCTCCCTGCACTTCCTCCTCGTGTAAGTCAACTATTCCTCACCGAGTCCTCTTTGTTTAACACATTTCGATGGCACAATGCTACGATAAGACCAATCAGTCAATCATGTTCTTACTTTCAAAACAGGCTGAAAGGTGGGTTACTAACATGTTGGACCTACCACCACATCCAAAATCACGAGACTCTCGAGTGCTTCTCCACGACTCACAAGCTTTTGGATGTTGAGGTGTAGATCTCACCCAATCTTCACCCCTGGCATTATGTCAAAAGGTTGGATGCAAGGATCGCCCTACCACTCCCGCTACTTCTAAATCACACGTTCTGGACCGG